TGGTGTTTACCACCCCAAGTCATCACCATTTATCCCCCCTTTACCTTCTACTACTCTCCCTAGCCACCTTCCCTCTGGCCATCGCCATACTGTTGTCTGTGCCCATGAGTCTTTCTTTTCTTTGCTCAATGGATGGATGAGAAAACAAAATGAGGTATATCCATGCAGTGGAACATTATTTGGCAATGAAAATGAAGTACTGGTATAAGCTGCATCAATGAATCTTTAAAACATTAAGCTAGTGAAAAGTCAGTCCCAGAAGACTACATGTTGTATAATCCCATTACATGAATTGTCTAGACTACGTCCGCCTTTAGAATGGTGGTAGTGAGTGCAAGGTTAATTTTTGTTATAATAAAAATATGCTAAATTAATTATCATGACGGTTGCAAAACTCTGTCAATAAACAAAAAACACTGGATTTTATGGTTTAATTATGTGAATTATGTGATATATGAACTATAGTTTAATAAACATGTTATTAAAACTCACATACAAACAATCGGGTATCACAATTGTATTGGAACATTCAGTAGTATTATTGAAATTAGAAAACAGTGAAGCAATGCCTAAATTCTAACAAAAATGATTCATAGACTCTACTATGTAAAACCTGTCAATTGACAGACTAAGATTGTTTTTTCAGACATTTAAGCCGACCAAAATTTCATCACCCAGGGAATTATATAGAAGCATCAATCCAGGAAGATTTTCGTCCTTCACCAAGAATAAGAAAGCAACTTAGAATGCAAACTTTGTATAAAGTAGGCATAGATGTGAGAGTTTATATCTAGAGTCTCAATTCTGTTCCATTGAGCTATTTGTCTATCCGTATGCCAGTATGGCATCGTCTTGATTACTGTAGTTTTGTAGTAAATTGTGAAATAGGGAAGTGTGTCTTTTCACTTTGTTCGTCATTTTAAGGCTTTGCCTGGCTATTCTGTTCCTTGCATTTCCATAGGAACTTTAGATCATCTGGCCAATTTATGCAGAAAGGCTGCTTTCTACTGGTGATTATTTTGCTTGCTTAGAAAATGCCCTTCTTAACTCACCTACTACATAGATTCTTCCAAAATATATACAGTTATTGTTTAAATCAATATTCACTGTTTTCATCATCATTATCTTAGTCTTCAGATCTAACCCATGTAGAATTTCTTGTTGACATACCTTCCAAAGCTGTCTGTGACTTTTCCTAATTTAAACTGTTGAATCTGTAGATCATGTGGAAAGTATCATCTTATAATTCATGAACATGAAATTTTAGTGTATAAATCTTACACTTCTTTTATTAAATTTATTCCTAAGTATTTTGTTTTTGGTGCTATTTTAAGTGGAATTGTTTTCAATTTCACTTTCAGGTTTTTTATTGTGATAACACATACATAATATCAAATTTATCATTTTTATAACTTTTAAGTGTCCATCTCAGTGGCATTAAGTACAGTCACATTGTTGTACAACTGTTACCCTATTCATCTCTAGAAATTTTCAGCTTTCCAAGCTGAAATGCCATACAAATTAAACACGAATTCCCATACCTTCCCCAGCTCTGGAAACCAAACCATCATTATATTTTAGCTCTATAAATCCGACCACTCTAGGTACACATAAGTGGAGTCATGCAATTTTTTTTTATTTGACTGGCTTGTTTCACTTAGCATATCTTTAAGGTTTATTTATGTTGAGGCATGTGTCAGAATAACATTCCTTTGTATGCATATATCACATTTTGTTTATCTATTTACCTGGTTATGCACATTTTGATCATTTCCACCTTTCAGTTATTTTGAACAATATTACTATGAAACAACTGTGTACAAATATATGTCCAAATCATTGCTTTTACTATTTTGGTTACATACCCAGAAGTAGAATTGTTGTATAATATGGTAATTCTATATTAACTTTTTAAGGAACCATCATACTGTTTTCCATTGTGACTGCACCATTTTATATTCTTAGCGGTAATGCACAGTGTTACAATTTCTCCACATCCTTGCCAATACTTGTTATTTTCTGTTTATTTTTTAATTTTCTTTTTCTAATAATGGCCACCTTACTGGTGTGAAATAGTATCTCATTATGGTTTTCATTTGCATTGATCTAATGATTAATGATGTTGAACATTTTTTCATGTTATTATTGGCAATTTTTATATTTTATTTAGAGAAATATCTACTCAAGTTATTTACTCATTTAAAAATCGGCTTTTTTTTTGTTAATTGGATCATAAAAGTTTTTGTAAATTATGGATATCAATTATTTATCATATATATTATTTCAGAATATATTTACATTTTTCTCCAGTTTCCTCGGTTGCCTTTTCATTCTGATAGTATAATTTGATATACAAAGTTTTCACTTTTGATAAAGTACAATTTATCTTTATTCTGTCACCTGTGCTATTTTTACCATATTCTCTACTTCTTTCAGCATTTTTCTTGTAGTTTTATTGAATCCTATATAATAAAAACGTAGTGTGCAAATTGTCCCCTGGACAGGAAGTTTATCTGGAAGTTCGACCAGGGGGCAGGGCCAGCTGGGGAAAGGGAGGGATTGCCTGGGTGGCAGCTGGCAGCCACTAGGGACCCTACCAGTGCACAAATTTCATATAGTGGGCATCTAGTAAATATATAATAGCTATTTTGTGTCTTTGTTTGCTAATCCTCACATGGGGGTCTCTGAAAAGCATTTCTTGTTACAACCTGGTGTGAGTCACAGGTTACTGTTTCTTTGCATGTCTCATAATTTTTTATTGAAAGCTTAGAATTTTTGATAATATATTTTAACAACTGTCGAGTAAGACTCCCTCCACGTTCTGTGTGGAGTTGGGTTCGGTATCTGAAAGAGGAGCCGCACAACAAATGAGAGAAAAAGACACGAGTTCATTTTGCAATATTGGGGGACCAGGCGGCCAAGTCCCGAAGGACTTCTCTCATGCTTAGGCCTCACCAAGCTTTTATTGATTCTGGGATGCACCCATAGCATAGCCCTTAGGCAGGTGACCCCTGGCAACAGGCAGACTAGCCCATCAGCAAGGATTTACATAATAATAAATGGAGGAGTAGTTTCAGCTACCACTGTCTGGACAAACAGAGGTGGCGCCTAGCTGACCTCTGCTAGGGCTTCAAAGGCACCCAGCCTTTGGAGGGGGGGGGGTCCTTTGTCTATGTTTATCAGATAGTGAAGGCAACAAACAGTTTCCCACAACAACTCTAGATACTGCTCTTCCCTGCCCCTTATTGTGGGACTTGGTGGTTTATTTTATTTTATCTTTAGGCATGTTTAATTTTTTTATTACATGGACTGGACTATTTTGGTGAAGTCTCTGTCGCCCCTTTTAGGGTATAGACTTGGGCATATCCACAGCCCCCTGGGATGACAGTGTTTTAAAAGGACTCTGTTTGATTTTCTGTTTACCTGATTTTTTTTTTAAGATGTATGCCTCTATTGTTATCACACTTGCCAGCTAGCATGCACTAAGTCTCAGCTGATAATACAATATACAGATGATATATAATAGAATTGTACACCTGAAACCTACGTAATTTTATTAACCAATGACACCCCCCAAAAATCAAATTTTTATTCAAAAAGGACTTTGTCATAAATTGCTCCACTGTCTTATTCAATACAATTTTGGCCGCTTCTCAGAAGCAGTCTTTGAACTTTGTTCTAACTTTAGGAGGATTCTTCTTCTTAGCCATCTTTTCTCTTGAGTCTAGCTGACCTTTGTTTTAGTTTGTTGCTCCCATGGAGCCACCATCATTGTCTTCCTTAATAACCACCAAAATCTCTATTGCTTTTGACAGGCTTTTAGGTTTGAACTTCCCGGTGCTCTGATCTAAATGAAGTCAGTTCCCACCAGGAGTGTGACCCAGATATCTGTTCTGCAAGCCTGCTCTTCCCCCTGGGCCATCTCTTTATCTCTGCCCTGGAGCTAGAGATGGGTGCACTGCCCCACTTCCCTCAGAGTGACCCCTCTGCTTTACAAGTGGCATTCTAGGTGGCTATGGTTGCCTTTGGTCTTCTTGGCATGGAACGTCTGCCCCATGAGCGAGGAGGGCAGTTGGAGCCCAGTATTCTTGGTCTGTTCCTGCAGTAGAGCTTCCACCTGTTTTTAATGTGAGACCCATGCCTGTGTCTGTGCCTACTGTTCTCCCGGTAAAAAAAAATTACTCTGCTTCCATCTCTTCAGAGAATAAACCTTCAGTGTTCTGCTGCCAAAAAATGTGTTGCATTTACCTTTGTTCATCCTCATGTATTGACCTTAATAGACACCTTCCCAAGGTTATTGTTGCCTCTATGGACTGGGACTAGTATGAGGATTTAAGACAACAATGTCTGATCTTTGAAAGGAAAGAAAAATGACTTTTACCTTCACTTTGCAAATACTGTAGATTTAATCACAAGTACCTCTAACCTCCTAAATATGCAGAAATTGCTAGAAGTTATGAACTCCCTTTTCAAAGGAGGTTACTTTATTCATGCTACCTCATGTTCTTGAACCCAAATGCTACTACTGCCTCCACCCTATTATGTTTAGCTCAAATAAGTTATGTAATATACTTATGTAATTTATATGCATATAATCTATCTTCAACTATATATTCATTTTTTACCCTTCCACCTATAGGCATAAAAATTCTTTTACTAGATGTATGCAGTTTCTATTAGGTAATTATATTTTTCTCAGGTCCTTGTGGCAAATTTGGTTATTTTCCCCCTCAAGCATAGTTTCACTGGGGATGCATCTAAGTATATTGAACCAGGCAAAGATATAGCAATGGTTTTCTTATTATTAATACACATAGCCTATAATCCTTACCACAAAATCAAATACAAAACACTACTAAAACAAGATGCATAATACCACATACTACCTTAGTTTTATCAGTCCAATGTGCATAGCATCCTCAGCTCTCTCTCCCTTATCTCTCTCTATACCAGTTCATATCTAGGCAGTTACATGATACTTTCAGCTTATAGAGCACGCTTGCTCTCATTATAATTTTAATATGCACGAAAACTCATCAAAACATTTGCTCAGTTGAAATCTAAGGCTCAGAACATTTAAGAACTAGTGTGCAATTAAATGTCTGGAAAGAGATATTACCAACAGGTCTATGTCTTCTACCTTAAGAACTAGAAGCACATTTCAAGAAAGCTTGTGTGCCTGTTATTTTATAGAAACAAAAATGGAAGAGAAAATTTCTGGGTCCCTTTGGTGGAAATGTTAATTATTGTAATTATACTATTATAACTGCCAACCTATAATAGGCCTTTTAAAATATTCAAACACTAACTAAGTGCTTCTATTGAATTACTGTATTTAAATCTCACACCATCCCTATGACATTAGTAATGGCATTGTCCTCATATAATTTAACCTGAGAAGAAAACCCCACACAAGCATGTGTGGTTTTGTTTTATCTTCTCACTAGAGGCTCAGTGCACAAATTCGTGCATGAATGGGATCTGGATGGCCCACCTCGAATGAGGTGGGGGGAGCCAATCAGGGGTGGGGCTAGCCAGGGGGAGGGGCTGTGGGCAGTTGGTGGGCTGGCCCGGACGCCTGGTCAAACTTCGGGTTGAACTCTCTGTTGAGGGGACAATTTGCATATTAGCCTTTTATTATATAGGATATCCTCTCACAGGTAAAACTGAAGGAAATGTTTTTCTTGCACAATATTTTCACTAATAACTTATACCTACAGATTACAGGTATATTATTTAGCACATTTTGTCAATGAATATTGAAACCAAATTTGTCTTTTTGTAACATAAAATAAATTAACCTCTTCTCATTTGATTGTGCCTTGGTAACTAGATATTAATTTTCTGTATAATAAAAACTTTAAAAGTTTTGTATATTTAAATTTTAGAACTCTGAATGCCATTAAAATAAAATGTTCCTTAAGAAATCAGAATGCAAAGTAGGTAAGTTACTAAAAATGATTTTATTTGGAGTCTAAAGAAGCCATTTCCATCTAGTGTTAGCCAGTGAGTTGAGGTTAGAACTCCTTCTCTCAGTAAACCTGCAGCTTGCAGATATAATATAAAATGGGAAAATCTCTCACCATTGGTGTGGTACATGCTCAAGTTTTTTGTTGTTGTCACTTTGGTTTAGCTTTGGATTAGTTTATACATTTCAAATTTCATGGGGTAGAATACCTTACAGTTGTATTCCCAGTATAGATAGAGAAATGTCTGAGAAAACAGCATGAAAGCATGGCAGTGCAAGGACTTTTCCAGGCGGTAAATAAGAGAATACGGGAGTGGAGAAGACATGAACACTCTTCATCTTTCTGATGAGGAAGAGATAGATATCATTCCTGCACACCTTCGGTAGGTAATAACCAGTTATGAGGCCCAAACCAGATGGAAAGAGAGGCAGGACCTAGAGTATCTGCCTGGGGTCACCACTGCTTACAAACAACTCTTCACTTGTTTCAGAAGGAAAAGTAAAATGATATTTAAACAGGTAGCTGTGTCCTTTCTAAAAAAAAAATGTGTTTCAGCGGGTAATTTATTTACTAAATTATGAATAATCCATAAAATGGAATAATATACAACTATCAAAAAAGATGGGAAGATATATATATGTATACGCTGAGTATATACATACAACCATGTTATTTTAAAACAAAATGTGTACAATCTGTTATAAACTTCACACTCAGTCCACAGAATATTTTCATAAACTACATAATTATCTACAACTTCTACCTGATAATATATGTAAATTATAAAAACTTTTGCTTTTCCTTATTGAAAGAATAGTAAATTCATAAGAATATTAATATGCAAAGTGAAAAGTATGAAGTGATAGCTTACTCATGTTCATTTATTAAATAGTATTTTAAAAGAATTGCTTTTGAGTTCTGAACCATGTTGCTATATTTAAAAAAAATCTATGTAGGCAATTGTGTTGTTTGAAAATAGAGGTTGTTTTATTTATTTCATTCTTTCTAATTTTTAATCCTTAAAATCTTTTTTTTCCCCTCTAACTTACTGCACTGGCTAGGGCATCCAGTCCATTATTGCCTATAAGTGATAAGAGCAGTTACCTTGCTCCTGTTATGACTTGTCCCTGATATCATAGCAGATATTTGCCAGGTCAATGAATATGGTTTTTTTGTTAGGTGCTTTTTAGGCCAGTATTGAAATGATCATATTTTTGTTCTCTGTTAGTCTATTGATATGGTAACCTGCATTAATTGATTTTCAAATTCTAAGCCAGTCTTGTATTATATGGTAAACCTCATATAGTCATGATCTATTATTACTTTATATATTGCTATATTTGGTTTGTTAGGAAGTGTATATCTATGTTCAAAGGGAGTATTGTTTTATAGTTTTCTTATTTTGAATGTATTTGTATGATTTGGGTATTAGAATAATTCTAAACTCGTAAAAATGAGTTAGAAATGTTTTCTTTTCATCTGATTTTTAGAAATGTTTGCATGGAAATGGTACCATTTCTTCTGCAAATGTTTAATGGAATCTCCAGTGAAACTATCTGGATCTAAAATTTTCTTTGTGGGAGGTTTTAGTTCTAATTCAATTTATTTTATAAATATAGAAATATTCAGATTATCTATTTCTCCTTGAGTGAGATTTAGCAGTTTGTGTCTTTCACAGTATTAATTTATTTCATCTGTGTTGTCAAATTTAACGGCTTAGAGAGGTTGGTAGATTTTCTTATTATCTTTTTAAAGTTATAGAGTCTGCAGTGACAGCCTCTCTTTTCTAGCTGCTGTTTTTAATTTGTGTCTTTTTGTGAATTTAGTAAGGTCATATGATACAAGGTTAATTTGTAAAAATCAATTGTATTTCTAAATGCAAGCCACGTGCACTTGGAAGTTGAAATAAACAATACCACTCATAGCAACACTCAAACTATGAAATAATTAGGGATGAATTGAACATATTTGTGTAATATATGCTGAAAACTCATGAATAAAAGCACCCAAAGCTCAAAATAAATGTATATATACACCATATTTGTAAATTAGAAGACTCCATAATGTTGTTAAGATGTCAGTGTTTCCAAATCTGTAGACTTAATAAAATTCCAATTAAAATCCTAGCAGGGTTTCATAGAAACTGAAAAGCTGATTATAAAATTTTTATGGAAATATTAAGGAACTAAGTATCTATACAAGGACATAGAATGAGAACTCATGCTACCAGATTTCAAGATTTACTATACCAAAAACAGTGTGATATTGGAAAAAGGGTAAATATGTAGATTAATCAAAAATACCCCCACAAATATGTAATCCACTGATTTTTAACAAAGATTCAAATGTAATTCAATGGAGAAAGGTTAGATTAACAAATGCTGGAAAAGTTCAACATTTAATGTAAAAAGAAAATGAACCTTGATTCATATCTTACATATTACATGAAAATTTGATAGATTCTTATAAAGTGAAATATCTTTTACCATACTAGAGGCCTGGTGCATGAAATTTGTTCACTGGGCGGGGGGGAGGGTGTCCCTCAACCCAGCCTGCACCCTCTCCAATCTGGGACCCCTCGGGGGATGTCTGACTGCCGGTTTTGGCCCGATCCAACAACCCGGGACTGCTGGCTCCTAACTGCTCACCTGCCTGTCTTCCTGATTGCCCCCTATCCACTTTACCTTGTGGCTGTGGGCACTGCCATCTTTGAGGGTGGAGGGTGGGGCAGTTAATTAGCATATTCCCTCCTTATTGGCTATGGGTGGTGCCATCTTTGAGGGCGGGGCAGTGAATTAGCATATTCCTTCCTTATTGGCTGTGGGTACTGCCATGTTGGTGATGGTGTGAGAGTCAATTAGCATATCTTTATTAGATAGGATAAACATTCCCATCCCATATTACCCAAACAAAATGATAACCTATATTTATACAAAACATGTATGTAAATGTATATAGCACCTATATAAACAATGAACCCAAACTAGAAATAACTGAAATCTCAATCACTTGTGAGATGAATAAACAAACTGAGTACATTCATGGAGTGGACACTATTCAGCAGTACTACTGATAAAACAACATGGATGAATCTCAAATACATTTTACTAAGTAAAGATGCCACCGGCTGGATGATTCCATCTATAGAACCACACTAGAATAGACAAAACTATAGAGATAGAAAGCAGATCAGTAATTTCCAAAAATTGGCAGTGGGGCAAGGAGATGACTGCAGAAGAGCCAGAAAAATCTTTTGGGATAATGGCCCTGTTCTATATCTTGAGGATGGTATTCGTTACACAACTGTATGCATTTGTTCATACTCACAGAACTGTACACTAAAAGGAGTGAATTTTACTGTATGCAAGTTATACTACAACAAAAATGGAACAAACATATTTAAAAAAGAATTTCTTTCCTTAATGTTAAGAGCGCATTGAAAAAGTGAGGCCAGGACTGTGGTTTAGCAATAAGCAAATTATTCTGAAGAAATTCACATTAGCAGCCACAAGCAGGAGCCTAATCTCTGGAATCCAGCTCACACTCCTTTTTAATAGGCCAGGGAAATAGGGGTGAGAAAAAGAATGATGTGGCACAAATTATCACCATCCTGAATATGACAAGCACGTGTCCTGCTGACAAGAGGGACTGTCTGGCATGGTAATATGCTGTATCAGCTTTTCAATTTCCAAGTATAAAAAGTGAAGGAAATACTTATTTTTTCAAAGTGCTACATTGAAAAGAATAAATTTTTTTCTCATTACTAAAATTATAGTTGTTGGTTAAAGGGCATTTTTGTATAAGGCAAATTCAAGGAGCAATTTGATTACTAAATTTGAGAATAAAACCTTATTTTACCTTGTAAAATAATGTCCCATATAACATATATTTGGGAAGGTACCTGTATCTTTTTGTATTTCCAAAGAGTTTATAAAAGTTCTAATTTTCTCTCTGGGAGAAATATATAACCTAGAAGCACATGAATACAATAGCTGTGTTCTCACTATCGTATTAAGTCCAATACACAATCAATGTGAATTGTTTGATTTTAGGTCATAAAGGCTGCCAGCATATTGCTATTGATTATACTATAGATGAATTGATGGCTGTACATACAACATTGCAAACAGTGGTTCTCTGGCTTAGAAATATTTATGTAAACAAAACTAATATACAAAGAATCCTCCTAACAGTAATAACTTGTAATTATTGTAATTGTTAGAATCTTATAATTGTTGGAATCAAGTTATCATCTTTTAATCACCATTCTCTGCTGTTGTGTTTTTACTTTGAGGCAGGTTAGCAAGTTATTTGTATGTGTTTTATAAATCATGAACCAGCATACATTTGGGGAAATGTGTTCTAAAACCCAATGCTGTTTAAAAAAAAACACCCACAAAAAACATAATAATCCCTAAAGACTGAGAAAATGGCCATAGCTATTTGGTGAAAATTGCTTATCTGAGGTGTTAATTGGTCCGTGCTTATGTAGAAAATTAAATGTGGATGTACATTGATTTGCTTCAGAGAATAACACTCATATTTTATAGGAACCAATTGCTAGTAGCCAGGATAGAAAAATCTTTATTTCCTGTGGTTAGTGTTTTCCCCTCTGCAATCAGGTAAACATTTCAGGAGAATTTGCCTAAAAGATATCTTCTCTAGAAGACATTTAAAAATGCACATGTGCTTTGGGGGCAAAACTAGAATTATGTCATGTAACACCCAAAAGTGAAAGAGCGAAAGAGAAAGGCCTCCTGTTGTAAAAAGAAACATAGTTCCAAATTGCCGGAAAAAAATGTGTAAATTATACGAATATTGACAGTAGGTATTCTGTTGTACTGAATGAGTGATTAACCTTAAATGGTTAATCGCAATGACAGTAAAAATACTGATAATAAAAAGTTACTATTTGGCAGACAATATTTTAAGAAGTTGGCATGACTTACCCCATTTAAAACTCATGACAACTCTATGAGGTAGTTTCTATTATTATTCCCATTTTAGAGATAACTAAAAACAAGAATTGAGATCTTAGGTCATTTACCTATCACCATGTATTGTATAACAAACAACCCTAGTACCTAGGGAGTTCAATGAAACAACAACAACAAATAATAATTTGTAATCCAGATCACAGTACAGTTAGGTTCAGGGCTGCCTCCTATGTTGTGTTCAGGCTCCCTCAATTTGAGGCTTCTACTATCCCAAGGTCCGATGAGTTTTCTGCTGAATTCCTTGCATCCAGAGCACTGACAAGTGAAGGGAAGAAAGTGGAAGATTATCTGAATTCTTCAAGGGCAGTTCAGGAAGAGGCGCACACTAATTTTGCTTATATAACATTGTCCAGAAGCCAGATATATGGCTTTAACCTAATAGCACGTCAAGTGGGAAAACTTCTTGTTTTATTTGCCCGTGAAGAGGAAACAGGATTGGTGAACATTAGCTAATTTTTGTGATACTCACATAACCTGGAATTAGTAAAACCAGAATTAGAGCTTAGGTACTCTGGCTTCACAGTCTTTAGCCATTATATTTCACCAGCTCTTAGAGAAAAGAAAAAGGAAAAGAGATATAATATGAATTAATTTCGTATCCAAGTAGAATTCTTACTATTTATTATTAATAATAAAAATTCAAAAATTTATTTCTTAAATCTATTTCTAAGTTAAAGAACATCTTAGAATCTTAGATACCGCAAAGCTACATGCTATTTGTAAACCAAACATGTCAAACTCATGGCCCATGGGCCACATGTGGCCCACAACGAATATTTTTTTACAGCTCTGCCAATATAAAGTATGCAAGAAAAGTTTTAATAAAAATTTCATAACTTAATTTTTACAATATCCTATTATACATAATTATTAATAATGAACTACGACGTTCGCTAATGATTGTTTACTCATTTATTTCAGTCTTTTGTATTCAACATGTCTCTATTGAAATAAACGTACGTTTCTATGAAAATTGAAGCTTTTTTTTTTTTTTTGCGGCCCACATCAACTTAAACCTTGTTTATTTAGCCCGTTTTAGCCTTTGACATGGTTATTGTAAACTGTTAACTTACATTTGATAGAAAATATATACCCACACTTTTATAGTACTCTCCTATACAACTTTGAAAAGATAATAAAAATATTCCTTAAAATAGCAGAATGGAGTGGGACTGTGTTGGCTCTGTCTTCATCAATTGCATTACATTTGATTCCTGACATCATAGCTACTCTCCTTTAATTAAAAATGACACTTTCCTTTTATGATAATGCTGAGGAATACAGATCAGATTCCCTGTTTACATATCTGTTTCTTGGCTTGCATATTGCATCTCCTTAAATACTAGTGGTCTTCCTACTTCAGTTTAAGATCCAAACCAATGATAATGTTGCATGAACCAATGACCATGCTTCATAAAAAGCACTCTATGAAGACTGATCTGAGTATGAAATTTCTGTTCTACTCTAATAAGCTTTCTAGCAAAATTAATTTGATGAATTTTTAATTACATACATAATCATTATAGTGTTGCACATAATTAGGCATAACTGGTAAGTAGTTCTAATAGATAACATTATAATAATTAGTATTGCTTTCACAGAGTCAAGCCAAATTTTAAATTTTAGTTTTTCATGCTGTCAATTCTTCATAGTTCTTCATAGCCCGTTAGAAGAATCAGCATTTACCATTTTACCTGATATCATATACCATTTAATCATCTCCCTATCACTTCTCTGCACAAACACAAATTCTCATACAGGATAAAATCGATAAACCACAAGCTAAGTTGCCGACGTTTTTTCTGCTATTTCCAACCACAAGACCCCCAATACTCAAAACTGTGGTTGAGGTTCTGGATTTTCATAGTCATTCCCCTGCCCCATTTTCTTTTATTTCTCCTCAATTCTCCCCATCACAACCCCCATGTTGTTAACTTGAATCAGTCAGTACGCATTGGATGTAAGGGTCCTCAAACTACAGCCCGCGGGCCACATGCAAATACAAATATTGTATTTGTTCCCGTTTTGTTTTTTTATTTCAAAATGAGATATGTGCAGTGTGCATAGGAATTTGTTCATAGTTTTTTTTAAACTATAGTCCGGCCCTCCAACGGTCTGAGGGACAGTGAACTGGCCCCCTGTTTAAAAAGTTTGAGGACCCCTGGGAGGGCCGAAAGATGGAACCAATAGTCTGTGGATTTTCTACTTCAGATTGAGACAGGGGAAAAAGAGAGTTGGGCTACTGGGATTAAGTGGTAAAAATAATACATGTAAAATACATGTAAAACATGTAATATACGTAAAAACATGAGTTATTACGCCTGCCGTAAGGTACAGACTAAATTACGTAGGGCATTCCCATACCTTTCTTCTCTTTATCCCCTAAAATGTGTAAGTCTTTTCTATGACAGCCCTTTCCATTTCCTCTTTCTGTCCCAGCCCCTTATTACATTTATCTTTGTCCTCTCTGCTCTACTGAAACCCTTTTTAAAGGTCTTCATTGATCCTATTTGGAAACCCCGTGCATTTTTTTAGAGTTAATCCAAGTATATTTCTCTAAGGCTTTGCCATTAATGGCTCTGCTCACTTTGGTGAACTGTTCTTCTTCCTTAGGTTTTGTGAAGCTTCCTAGATTCTTCATCTATACGTTTGATTATTTAGCAGTTTCTTCATTAACACTTTTTCTCCTTGCCTTTCACATGTAGAAGTTCTCTAGATTATAATTGTATCATAAAACTTCTTTATGAGGGATGATTCTTACCTCCTGGGGCTACAAGCACCAACTTCACATTTGTAACTTCCAGATTTACAACTCCAGTCCAACATTCTTTTCTTAAATAGACTCAAATTCTCAACCTTCTCATGCCCATTACCCTATCAACATTTTAAACTAAACAAAGACAAATTTATTATTTTCCCCAAACTTCCAGTTCTCCTGTTATTCTTAATACATTTTATTGGTACTATTAACTCCCTGACATTATGCTTTCACCAAGTTTTTGACCATCCATTGATCTAAATATTCATAGCCCTAATTTATGCCTTTGCTATTGTAGCCTTTTAGATGGGTTTTCTTCTTTCACTATTTTTCACTTATCTTTCTCCCTGCTATTAGTTACTTTCAAACAATACAAGTCAGAATATATCACCCTGTCCTCATTAACTATCAATGACTCACATTATCAGGAGAGAATGCTACTTAATCTAATAATTAATCCACTTGGTCCTGGTCCAAAACAATTCCAGTCCTATTTTCTACCACAGTCAACAGTATGTTCCAGATACCTACCCCCATTTTCAGTCTCTGTATGAATTTTTCTCTTTCTAGCCTATGAATTTACATTGTTATTTAACATATATATTATTCTGCTATGAGTTATACCTGTCTAACATTGTTCTTCCCACCTAACACCACCAACTTCCCCACTCATGGTATAATCACTTAGTTTGGGTAAAGCAATTTTGTATCTGTGGGCAACTTAGCTTGTAACTTTGACTAGGTACTCAATCCATGTTGGACTTAAGCAGCACATATATGCACAGCAATTTTGAAATGATTCCACATAAATCAAACAAGATTTGACAATTCAATTACCTGATTTGAAGATGTAAATGAATGATATTTAGGACCTAGTTTAATGAAGTAGAAATGAAACTTGAGACTGTTAATCTTCATCCTAGAGTTCAGCTATTTTATTGATTTTTTGATGCATTTACCCTATAAAAATCGTGAAACACTTCCAGTTTTCTGTCACACATTACTAAGCCTAGGCTGACAAACAAAGATACACCATGGTTCCAGCTATCACCAGATTGTTCAGTGGGAATTACAGGTATCATTACATAGGTATTAAATATATAGATATCAGAACATAGACTTTATATTTAGAATGACCTTAATTTGAATGCTAGCTCTACTGTATGTTTGCTGTATAATCTTGGGTTATCAACCATCAGATTTATCACCTGTAAAATGTAAGTTACAATAATAACTACATGTTTAACTGCTGTGTGTTTCAAAAAGATTGCAAAATTAAAGAACTTGATATAGATTTATAATTTGTAGCTATATATACTGGTATAAAGAAACATTTATTACATATTTTATTGCTAATACATTTTTATAAACCAAGTTACTACTCTTTTTACGTTACATAAATATTGACATTTATGTTAGCATAAAATTAGCACTGATCCCAAATCCAAACCTATTAAATAAAATATAGTTAATTTGTATATTGGTTGAATTTATATTTTGGAAACAACAATTGTTCCAAGTTTTCAAGGAGAAAGAACTTTAATGTAATCACAGCAGTGAACATTAGAAATTGAACAGGGCACAACTAGCTGTCAAGTTATGATATTACAGTTATGTCCCAGTCAGAGAGGAAGCTATGATATTTGTTCAGTTCACCAATAGCATATTGATAGAAAAAGATCACAGCCTCAGCCCTAGGTCACCCCAACAGTGGCAGGTTGACAATAAGAGGAGGAAGCTCACAAAGGAGACTGTGAAATAGGAGGAAAACCAAGGGTGTGGAGCCCGTGGAAGTCAAGTCATGAATCTGTATCAGAAACAGTAGTTCCCTGTGTCTACTGCTACTGAGAGGTCAAGGGAGATGAGGACTGAGAAAAGGTCATTGCATTTAGTTAGCATCAAGGTCATTGGAGATATTCACACGAGCATTTCTTAGGAGCAGAGGCTTGATGGAGTGGGTTTAAGATAGAAACAGAAGGGTAGAGAGAGACAGTGGGTATGGGTAATTTTTAAAATTTTGTTGCAAAAAGGAATTGAACAATGGTGACTAATAGGAGAAGGGAGGTCAAAGTTCTTGGTTTTTAAGTTGGGGAAAAATAAGAGCATGTTTGATGCTGAGATGGAACTAGTGCAGGGGTCAAAAAACTTTCTATAAAGAGCGATAGTAAATATTTTAGGCTTTGTGGGTCATAAGTCTTTGAGGCAACTAGCCAGCTCTGCCTTTGTAGAGTAAAAGCAGCCTGAGGGAATATTTAAACAAAGGGGCTTCATTGTGTTCTGGTAAAAGTTAATTGACAAAGATTGAGGGCGTTAGTTTGTTCTAGTACTTAGTTATTTGAAAAATAAAAAGCGATTATGAGAGGAAGTAGAGAACAGCTGAAGTTATATCCTTGACTCAGTGAGAGGGCATGGAATTTGTGTAAAGGAATTGGAGTTCGGGCTTTGATTATGAGTTTGAAAAGCAAAAAAGACAAGAATATGCAGAGGTGGATAAATATGAAAAACAGATCTGTGAAAAATCTCTTTTGAGTGCTTCAATTTTCTTAGAAAAGCAGGAAGCAAAATTATCATACCGTGACAGAAATTACCAAAGGGCCAGAAAACACATTATGGGCCCTCGGAAGATTCAGGAAAACCTTTTATTTGCAGAGGCACTAGTGTGGTTTCTCAGGGGACTCAGTCTCCAAAGCTTGAGTTCCGGATGAGGGGTTGGGCTGGGGGGTTGTCTTTTCTTTTATCCCCTTAGTTTCTTTGTCTCCCAAATATGGACCAGGCTTCCGGACTTTTCACAGGTTTTGCAGCCCCCATGGGTTGGGACCGGGAAGTGAGATTACTACAACGAACCACCCAGGCTAGCTGGTGCCAGCAGTTAATCTTCTGTGGGGGCTTTTTTTGTCCCCCGCTGCAGATAAACAGGTTCTGGAAGGCTATCGAGGACACAAGCAGAAAGGGGGTTGGGGCTAGCAAGCTTATGCATCAGAATGCAGGTTGTGTGTGTGTGTGTGTGTGGGGGGGGGCGGGGCTCAGGCTGCCTTCATAATATGTGTGACCATAGGAAGGAAATTTGAAGTTTTACAGAGAGAACATGCATAAAATAATTAGAGAGTTGAAAAGTAATTGGCTAAAAAAATACTATAGATAATTAAATTTCTAGTAAAATGTCAAGTTTTCAGCTTGAAATATTTTTGCTGTTCTTTTCCACATTTGACTTTTTATACATTTACATATATATATGTGTGTATATATATATGTATATATTTATTCACACATATATGTATGTGTGTATATATATATATATATATATTTCTGAAGCAGCAGATAAACTTGCAGCAAATATCAACATATTTTAAATCATTTAAGTTTAATATTCAATACCCTTCAATACCCTTATTTTTATTCCTGGGGTGGGACAGGAGGGCTGTCGCAATCCATTAATAACCCTATTTTCTTTTTTAAATATATATTTTTATTGGTTTGAGAGCGGAAGCAAGAGGGTGAGAGAAATAGAAACATCATTGATAAGAAAGAATCATTGATTGGCTACCTCTTGTACATCCCCTATTGGGGATCGAGCCTGAAACCCAGGAATGTGTCCTGACTGGGAATTGAACTGTAACCTCCTGGTTCATAGGTCCACGCTCAGCCACTGAGTCATGCCAGTCTAGCAATACCCCTATTTTCAAATAGAAAAATCAGTTACATGTTCTATGCATATATTTTTCTAGTTTAACAATTCTTATTCCTGTTAGAAATTTACGCAGTGAATATTCTCCTGTCACTTCAGCTGTTTCATGCATTTATCATATTGAATCTTAGTTTGCTCCGATGGCTTGCTAATTTTTGTTTTAATGAAATATTCACTCTGAAATAATTCAGATATAACAAAATATATTATGTCCAGTAGCTGTCTAATATTTTGCAACTCGTGAAAGAAAAATTATTGAAATTGAATATATTCATTGATTGCTATGAAGGTTACACATGGATTAGTAAATCAAAACAAGTGCTCAAAAGATAGAAAATCAATTGATACGTCAGATAGGAAAGGCATGGAACCAATGGTGAAATCAACCACTTAGTTGACATTTTTCCATTTGAAATAATTTAATTTACAAGAATTTGAAAGGATTTTGTGACTTTGAACATATATAATATGCTAAAAAGTGAAAGACTGAACAGATAGACCTGAAATATTAACGATACTTCAAACAAATGCAAAGCAACATATTTTAGAAGGAATACATGCTGTTTGGTCTCTCAACCAATCACAGAAACTTTGAAGGATGCACTGAGCAAATATTAACAATATTTAAATTTAAAAAATATATGTGCACATGCATATAGAGGTGATCTTTCTGTGTTTCTCTACAGAACTGTTGCCCAGTTGCCAGCAGTTGAATTGTCAGTATAAATGTGCAGTGGTCAGAAATAGTACAAGATGTTACTGTGAAGATGGATTTGAAGTAAAAGAAGATGGAAGAAGCTGTAAAGGTGAGTATGACAGGTGACTCTTAATTTTTTTTTCAGAGGCTTAGTGAACAGAAATTTTATGAAGTATTTTTTTATTACCTACCATGTGATCCACACAAAGTTTACATTTATTTTTCTCTGAGATTTAAAAGTTGACACTCATCCCCCCCACCCCCGGCAAAACCACAAACATAAATATTATAGGACTGCACTTATATCAATCATTTTTGATTCATGTTACAATAATGTCAAACATGGGAAGTGTTTTGGTTAACCATTAAAATATTGGATTTAATTACCTTAAATTTCTAATTGTATTATGCCTATTATACAGCCGCTGGGTGGTATAACTGTGTTAGGTTAATAATAATCATGTAATATCCTTTACAATTTTTGCATTGGAAATTCTGACATTTGGCATTTCACCACTATGTTAATAATGGTGAACATGACAATATTTATATTTTAAATGTTCTAATTCTTGTTTTGTGAATACTCTAGAACCATGGTCGGCAAGCTGCGGCTCTCAAGCCACATGCAGCTCTTTGGCCCCTTGAGTGTGGCTCTTCCTAAGCCTTAGGAGTACCCTAATTGAGTTAATAATGATGTACCTACCTATATAGTTTAAGTTTAAAAAATTTGGCTCTCAAAAGAAATTTCAATCGTTGTGCTGTTGATATTTGGCTCTGTTGACTCATGGGTTTGCCGACCACTGCTCTAGAGCAACACACCCCCCCCCCCCCCCAGAAAAAGAGAGGCTCATTGTTTTTAATGAACATCTGGGCCTTGGATTTGTAGTTTGTTGTTTACTTTTTGCATTATACAAATGTTATAGAAACATTTATTATTAAATGTCTATCAGGCCCAGTGGATGCATAATCTGGCTAAAAGGGGACAGTTGAAGGCAGCAGGGACTGCAGCAGGTGTCTGACTAGTGAGGTCAGACCAAACCTGGGCAATTGGGTTCTGGATAGGAAATAATTCAGAGCCGAGACCCAAAACTGTAAGAGAATATTTACTTGGTAAATTACAGAGATAGACAAAGTAATTCCTAGAAGAAATGGGCTTAGGAAATATGTTATGGAAGGGAAGGAGCCTTGGAGCTTGAAAATGAGGAAGCTAATGGTAAAGTGCCTGGGAAGGAAGGAAAAGGGAAAGGGAAAGGTACTGTGCACTCCTGGGAGGGAGAATGCACTGGGCCCTCCATACTAAGAATGGAAATTTTAGGGGAGACGCCAGGGGAAGATCTCAATAGAATATTCAGCAGTTTTCCACGTGTGTCTTTTCAGGGTTGTGGTCTCCACAGATTGGCCAGCACCAGGGCAGGGAGTCATGATTCAATGCAGCTGGTCCTGATGAAATGTGAGGTTCAGGGGTGCAGATTCTTCTCGTGGGTTCTTATACAATGAAGTTGAATAATAA